TAAGGGAATGAGAGACTAAGCGCGGAGAGGAGAGTATGAGGCGAGAGAGCGCTACAGATGAGAGAGCGCCAGACAACAGCCTGATAAGAGAAAAAATCTGCAGCTTCAGCAGCTTACTTTGCAAGGCCCAAGCGCTCTTGTCGGTTGGTTTCCGTGCACGGGAACGCCACATTTGTGATTGTCCTCTAGGGGTCTATACTACAGACCGAAGGGAAGCGTTCACACGACCTCTGCCTGGGTTGTGCCTTTAAGCGCTAGGGTTGTAAGATGGTTGGCGAGTTATGGAACCCAGGTACACCACCTCGATGTACGACCCAAAATCGAGAAGCTGGACTGGATTCAATATCAGTGTCTTGCAAATCTTGGAGGCACTTTCACAATTCTTTAGGTGCGGTCATTCAGCCCGAAAATGCAAGTAGATTTTAAAGGTGCTCAGTCAGTAATGAAGATAGCAAAAACGGAACTGCCAAGATCCCTTGAAAACACCTTTGTGGTTATGTGCGGAAATCAGTGCACCATTTCCACTCCCAACTGGTGTACCCTCTACATCAAGCTCTTGGCCCACATTTGCGAGAAAAGCAGCCGCTACGGGTCTTTTCCGTTGGAGACCACTTGTCAAAACAAAACGTTCTTTGCCCCTCAGAATAAGGCAATGATGGAAATTTTGGATGATGGAAGTAATGGAAGTTCGAGATGATTGAGATATGATGAAGAGTGTGCGGTTGGTGCTCTAAAAATGTTTTGGGTGGTTCTGCGGATTGCTTGTGACCCCTAATTATGGAGTGATTACCTTAAGGGTGATAGCCAAACCAAGGGTTCGCTTGACCCCTTGTTGTTTAGAGGCGTGACTAACTAGAGATCGTCGATTCAGACGAGAGGCGACGATTAGGGAATAGGATCGTCGACTTAGACGACGATAAAGAGCATCAAGAGGTGAAAGAAATCTCCAACAGAAAAATGGGATTAGAGGAAATAGGGGAGAACAATGCGCACTCTTCATCTCACCTATTAAACTCCTTCAAATCCTGGCCAAAAATGACGTTTCGATCGTCGTTTTTTGGATTTTTTATCTTACGGTTACTTAAATAGAGGACCACTACTTTCATTCCCAGGCGAATGACCCACCGCTAGGCCACCAAAGAATGTGCCTTTATAAAGGCTTGGATGGCGTGGTCCTCAGAGCAATACTCTCTGTGATTAAGGTAGCAGGAGGGGCTAGGGGTCGTCTGACGCGACTCGAAAGTACGCGACAAAGATGCTGAATCCTTGCCTTATTCGCTGCAACCGCCGCCATTTCTACTCGTTCGCACGCACCGTGTCTGCGCCCTCTCGTACGACCTCTTCTCTCGCAATTTCTCCCCTTCGCAGCGCTCTGTCTCTCCCTTGCATCACTGACCTCACAAGAAAAGCAGGCATTGAATACAAGTCTTCGTTTCGCTTCTTTGCTTTTTCATTCAGTGACGGTCCTCCTCGCATTTCCTATTTCATTTCCAAGCAGATATACACACCACCCATTACGATCCACGCATGCCCTTTAGTAAAAAGTGGAAGGTGAGGTATGAGCATTCCCTTAAAAACTGAATTCTTTCGTCTCACGAATCAAATAACCCTTGTTCCCTGTATATTTGTGTTCCAAATAAAGCCGATCCATTCAGAGCGTTTCTCAAGTGTTTGCTCCAGGTCTCACCCTTGGTGTTCGTATTTTCCACACTACCTACTTGTTCCATCGATTCCCTCGCCTGCGCAGACGGCTCGACACGTATGGCTGGTTCTACCGTAACTTGCCAGTGAAAACGTCACGTGATGGATCTCCTGTGCTCGTGCCCGGCAGCGAGCCGTCTCTGACATTGGCCTCAAGAGCGGTATGCAAGCAAGGTGACAATGTAGGGATATATAATTCATTTAATGCCTATATTTCAGGCATCACCAATACCACGAAAGAATACCCTGAACCCGAACGGGCTGTTTACCTCTCGTCTTGGATCGAACTTCAACTTGGACACCACCGGATCGCAGTTGAGCTTGAATTCGAGACGCAACTCTTCCATGCAGAACCTTGCCCTTAAGGGGTCTATGCAAAATCTGAACCAGAACTTCAAGGTTGTTTGGTCTCATGTTTTCATGTCAAATGCAAATTATTGGTATAAAATTTTTCAGGGTTCGTACGATGCTTTGAACGAGCAACCCACCACTAATGTGCAGTGGGCCTTCAGCGGTCAGACAGAGTCACTTACCGTCGAACCAACCGTCAGTAATTTTTTCAACCGTCCCAATCGATCCAGAGTTTCTCCACTTGTCACAATGGAGCAGTGGAGTCCTAATCCACCGGCCGATCCACTGACATCTGAATCGACCCCCAGAATTGAAGAAGACGATGAAGAAACAACGAAGAACTCGTCAACATCTTCCATATTCAGCAACGATGACGAGGAAGAAGCACTGATCATTCATGAAGACCAAATGATCGACAACGTACTCGCATGTACGTTTGGTTACTGTATCAATTTTTCTGGTCAATTTGTCCTGGCGCTCTCTTTGCAGTACTGCTATCGCTGTAATCTATGCTTATTTCAGATCGCAGCTGTGTGATGAACGACAAAGAGAAGACATTTCCAAAAGGCATTTCGTCGGGAATCCTCTACCTAACCGAATGGTACTCTTACTTAAATGAGCTACATTCCGTTTGGGTGGCAACATGTGTAGGCGGAGGTAGCGTAGTGAGTGGCGCCACTTATCACGCACATGCTCCAAAACCAAATCCCCGATCGAAGCT